CCGGCTCGGGCAGCAACCCGCCCGCCGTCGGCAACGAAAACCGGAGCTAATTCGATTCTGTCCGAGAGCCGGGGTGGGACAGGGGGAAACTCTGGCGCTGGTGAGCTAAGCTGCTAGATTTGCTTTGCTGTAAACCGACGAGAATATTTTATGATGGAGTGGAACAGTACAACACAAAAGGGAAATATGACAATAAATCTCTTTTTATGGATGCTCTCTAGCAGCAAAACACAAGATTCAAAGGGTTTACGAGCCAGCTATTTCGCAGGTACATCTGAAGATACCTACAAGTCAAAAAATGCCCCCTAACCCCCTCGTAGACCCCCTAGATCGGGGACACCCAACTCTGTGTCCATGCCGCCCCTCCCTAGTTACACGACGAAGATCCCCGCGACTTCCATGGGAGCAGTGCTGGCACGAGAGCTCACATCTGACCGCGGCAGGGGCAGGCTCCGGTTATTTATGGTGCCACTGGCACTACCCTTTCATACTTCACTGATACGCAGAACTTGAAGTCCAAAGTAACGCTCCAGCATCCAGCTCATAAAGAGCACATTAGGCAATTTTCTTTCTAGTTATTCCAAAACTGTTCACATTTGAGATCGCTTATCCGCCTGCGGAGCTAAATTACAGATTTAGTTTCACAGGGCCAGTTTTTCAGAGATTTTTTTGCATGCAAAAAGAAAGATAGGTACTTCATGGGAAGGATTTCAAAGTGGCAAAGGGTCTAGCGCTCCTTGAAGTAAGTGCAGGTTCAGCATATAAATCCCTTTGAGCATTTAAACCCCAGATACTTTTGGAAACCAAAATACACAGCTCTCTGCATCTCGATACCTTTAAAAATCTGCCTCATGGAAAATACATTTTTTCAGAGTCCTGTTCCACTGTAAAACAGCATTCATACATCCTAAATCTGTTCTATTCAATGCAAGCGTGCTTGCATCTAAGGCACTGGGAATGTTTTGTTATCTGTCCCCACGCCTTGTTTTGGTTCTTTCTTATTATCAAGCCCTGATACTGCTTACCCTGAGCACCCAAGCCCGGGTATAGGTCACCTAGAGAGCAGGGAATGGCTGGTAGGTCTGGTGGTTTGCTGCTGGGCTGCAGGGGTTGGGAAGTGCAGGGCTTGCAGCAATTGCTTCACACGAAATCTCACAGCGTGAGTGCTTTTCCTATCTCAGCACCCACCCCCGCATGCAGCCTGGCTCTTTAAGCGAAGGGTCACTGCGAAGCCGAGCAGCTATGAAAGCAGAAAGCAGAGGTAGCGCATGCAGTTAAATATATTCTTTCAAACTAGTGTCCTTTCAGTTAAAAATTGTCTTATGCATTGCTAAATGAAAGTCACACTGCCCTTTTCCCACGCTTTTTTATTCTAATAGAACAGGCAAGTGATTTCAGAGCCCTAGTTTTGTTAATAAAGGTTGTAGAACGATCTATAGTTCAAATATGCCAATCATAATCGTGTGTTGAACCACCTCTATAAAATACATCCATGGGAAAAAGAAGGATCGCTAAACCTCGCAGGCACAGAGCTCATCGGTACAAGCTGTGCTCCTTAAGCCGACTAGACTGCTCATCAGCGCGGCACCTATTTGTATGAATTCAAGTTTTGCGTGTGCCTGCTGTTAATGGAAACAATTTGTACATACTTGAGCTAGCTCATATA